TAGGGAAAGCTGGCACATTCTTCATTCCTGTGTGATTTCAGTCTGCAAAGACACTCAACTAAGGAGCCCAAGGATGCTCCAGGCTCCCTACAGAAGTGTGCTGGGGCCATGCTGAGCTGTCCTGACAGGCAACACAGGGTGATGGGCAGACATGCAGGACACTGGGGAAACCTAGGGCCACAGTTGGGAGGGACTCCTCAGAGCCCAGGCTCCCCACTGAGCTTAGCCAGCTCGTAATGCCCTAGGGACTAGTGAAGAAATGCGATCCACTTCTACCTGAGTTGTGCTTGCACAGAGGGGATGTCTACCCCAGTGGACATGAAGAGGAAGCCCCATACCTGCCTCCTGTGTCCTATGGAGGGGGCCCTCATCACATCCTTTCCACCCCTCCCTCCTAGGTTCCTGGGCCCAGCTCTGGCCAGGAAAGTGGGGAGGCCATAAAGGAAGAAGACCATGCCTTTCATTTTCTTCCTATGTCCTTATCGTCCATACATCCCAAAAACTAGGAAGCTGAAGAAGACAGTGACCCCCACCAGGGAGACAGTTGCAGGTGCTGTGAAAAACTGGCGGTAATTGATCCGGAAGTACCAAACCACACCCAACAGCACCACAAACACTGGCACCATGAGGCTGCCCACGCTGACGCCGAGGCTGGGTGGCTCAGTGGCTGAGGGGGCCAGGGAGGCTGAGGGACCTGGAACAGCTGCCCCAGGGGGTGAGCGGTGGCAGTGAATCACACAGTTGTCGGTAATGTTCAGGGAACGCAGCGTGCGGGCTGGGTCCTGCAGCAGGCGGCCCTGGTAGATCAGTTTCATTCGGCTCTCTTGTCCTGGGAAATATTTGCTATAAGGATGAAAAAGACAGCGAGAAAGACTGAGGGCAAGGAACGAGAAGGCAGCAGGACTGGACTAATAACCAGGACAACGGGGGCAGGGGGGTAGAGAACACAAGACTGACTTTCTAAGGAGATATGCCAGCTACATGTAGTAGGAATTGAAGTGACATTTCCCTGCTGTCTCCATGTCTGTAGCCTTTTACAGAAACAAAGGCATGAGGATGAACGACCTCCCTCTTTCCAATCCACTCACCTCTTCAGGGCACCCACAGTATCCTCTGGCCTGGCCACAGCCAGCTCCTCGGTGTCATTGAGGAATTTGAGCCGCACGTTGATCAGGCCGGGGCTGGGAGGGAGGCAGGTGCTATCCTCAGATCTTGGAGGGGCCTCTGGACTGTCGCTCTCTGCACCTGTCTGTCTTTTGGGCAGGCCTTGGATGTCAAGGAGATGCTCAAGGCTGGGCTCAACACCACCCCCAGCTCCAGGTTCCCCTGTGGGGTCTCCACCACCTTCACCAGCCTCTTCAGTCTTCTCATCATTACCCTCTGATGGGTGGGGAAGTTCAGTTGGCTCTGGGGTGCCTTGGGCTGCCACAAGGTGGTCCACATGCCCCAGGTGGAGAACAGATGTGTCACCTGCTGACACAATAGTGCCCAGGAGCTGGTTGCTACCACTGTCTGCCACGTAGGTAGAGAGCCAAGCTAGGACCAAGGCTAGAATCAGCACCACCACACCTGCCACCACCATCACCTCATTACCCACGCCCTCAATAAGGGTGACATCAGAGAGCTCCATGGCCTGGCTGCTGACCGGGTCCACGCTGCAGGGACAAAGGGGGATAGCATCAGCAGACCCTGGGGGGTTATGAGCAGATTTCTAGTTTATGTTCTAACTAACCCAGCCCTGAAAATGGAATTTAGTGTTCCAGAGAAGGGAGACAAACTGTCCCTAACTCTGGATGACCAAGCTTAGGGCTTACCTCTGCCTCTACTGTGAATTTCTCCAGCTTTCAGGATCTACCCCCTCCCCCTGTCACGTCCAATGCCCAAGGGAGCATGGATCCTCAAGAAAACCTCACAGCCTTGCTGCTGCTGCTGCTGCTGCTGCTAACACCACTGATGGCTGATTTTCATCACTGGGTCAAGCAAATGTGCCCCCATGAGCAGCCTCCAATGAAAGCCTGAAATCTTTCATTTTGGAGCCCCTTTGGGGGTGCTTGGCAGCCACCCTGACCAGATTATCTCATCTAAGTTCTATTTCATTCACGGTCACAGATCCAGGCCCAAATATTAAGAGCCCAAGAAAATCAACCTAGCATCAAAAGCAGTCAGACTACTGCTTTAGGGACAACTCTGTAGGGACCATCAGCAGACACTATGCAGGAGACACCATGTCTGCCTCCTCCAAAACCCTCTGGCAAGCCCTGGGGAGCCATGTAGGGCAAATACTAGAAACACCATCCCCTGGGTTACCGTGGCTCACGACTGCAAAAACCACTACCCAAGTGAAACTGATTGGAAAAGACTTCACAACAGTTCTCCCAACCCATAGTTTGGTCTCTCTTCTCATAAGTGCAGGTTCTCCCTCTGCAGTTTCTTAGAAAGACAAGAAGGATCTCTGCTTGCTCCTGGGGGGACCTACTCTTTTCCTTGGAGAATCTGCTGCTTTCAACAGCTGTCCCTGGGCAAATCCAGCCTGGTGATTATCATTATCAGATTATTCTCACAGCACCTATATAACTTCATTACACTGATCTACCTGTCCATCTCTCTACAACTTCCAGAAGCCTAGCATCACACGTGCTTCTCTTTGTACTGCAGTGCCCAGCGTAACGCCATAGTAGTTGCTCAAAGGATATCTGTGGAAGAGTTTCTACATTCTTATTTAACAAACTGGTTCTGGAGTCAGCAAAAATAAATAAAATAATTCCTGTCTTGTCTCTTACTAGCTATGTAACCTCAGACAACTTTCTCAGTCTCGGTTTTCTCATCAGTAAAATGGGGTTAAAAATAGTACCTACCTCATAAGGTTGTTCTGAAGATGTGAAATCATCGAAGCAAAATACTTAGCACAGTGCCTGGCACATTGCAACTGTTCACTAAACAAATGGGAGCAATTATTTATCACTCACAACTAACTCCTGAGAATAAGGAGGTTAATGTCATTAACCGTGATTTACGGAAAAGGAAACCGCGGCAAAGAGACGATAACAGCTGGCACAGACAGGGAACTCTCGTGGAGAGGGGCCGCGCAGGACCCCAGGTCTCCAGCCTCAGACGCCTTTGCTCTTTCCTCAGCCTGTGAACCACCCTGACCGCGCAGTGAGGAGGGGTCCCCGACCCAGCTTTCTGAGCCGAAGCCTCCGCGTCGAGGCGGTCCTATTCCTGCGGCGCCGAAGTGGGGTCCATGGATCCACCCGAGTCGAAGGGCTGCCTGGTTCCGACTAACATGCCCAAACCCAGATGTCCCAGTCTCTGTGGGGTAGGGTCAGGCAGGTGAAGGGGTCACAAACCATCCACACCCCTCAAGCTTCGGGGCGGGGCTGGGGGCCTAGGGGCGGGGCTTGAGGACGCGGGGAGTGATGGGAAATTAAAGGGGGCTCGGACTGGTACCGTGCTCGGATAGGAAAAGAGGTCCTCACCTGAGAAGGCCACACTAAATGTTTTGACTTCGCCAGGGGAGCCCCTGAGCTCTTCTTCCCGTAGGGGCCGGGGGAGGGGCTGGCAACCCCCGATTCTGGCCAGGGTCTGGTCTCTTCCGGCTTCTCCCGGAAGCTGTTAGAACGAGGAGCAGGAAGTCCCGCCTCCGCGCCTTGCACTGATGACGCAAAGCTACGTAAGACGGGCTGACGTAAACGTCTTCTTTAAATAAAAGGGACAGGTTTCTCAGAGGAAGGAGAGGCGGAGTCATTGTTGGCGGGATCGTAGCTCTCCCCGGGCCGACCACGCCTTGTGGGCGGGGCCTTGAGCAGCCCGAGATGAGAGGCCGGGCCGGCCGGAGAGAAGTGAGTCCGAAGGGGTGTTTAAGAGAGGGGCGTGGCTTTGTGTCTAGAAAGTTGCCCCAGCCCGCTGCGGAGCTGAGCCGGAGGAAGGTTTCTTTGCGTCTTTCCAGGCTTGTTCTTTCGGCCTTGCTCCCTGTCTCCCAGGCTGATTTGATTCGTTAATGCGCTGCAACGCGCACTGAGCTTTAGCTTAGTGGGATCGGTAAAGACTGGTCACTGTGACTTCCAAGCACCCAGCCTCGGGCTAGTCGGGAGACAGACGAGACACGTCAGTCACCATCCCTTGCTTGACTAGTACAGCGACTGGTAGTGTAGGGCCTTGGCAAATGAGGCAGGGAAGCATTTCAAAGAAGGCACAGATTCAAAGTAGGCATAGGGCACAAAAAAGCAGGAACCAAAAAGAAAAGAAAAAAGTTCCGCTTTTGCGAGTTAATTAATTTTTAATATTTTATTTAACTTTATTTTATTACTATTATTATTATTATTCAGTTTGATCAGAGAGAGAGAGAGAGAGGGAAAGTGAGAGAGCAAGCCGCCAGGTCCAGGACTTGAACCATGGTTTACCATGTGGGAATCCAGTGCTTTTAACCACCATGCCACCTGCCGGTCCCATGCAATTAAATTTATTCTAAAACTGGGGGCCAGCAGATGGCCTGGTGGTTAAGGCACTGGACACTCCCACGTGGCGGACCCTGGTTGGAATCCCGGACCTCCACTCCCCCCTCACTTTGTGTCTCCCTCTGATCCAATTAAAAAAAAAAAAGAATGAATAAATAAAATTAGAGGCCAGCAGTTGGCGTAATAGCTATGTTGCTGGACTCTCCTGTAGTTGACTGCGGTTCAAGTCCCAGACCCTTTGGCTTAAACTCAACGTCGGGGCGTGTGCATACACGCCCAAGATCCTGAGGAGAATGGAGAAGGGATTGCAGCATGGCCATTCCCCCGAGGGGGTGATTTCTCTTGCTCTGTCACTCTGTCTCTCTCTCTTTCTGGTCAGTCCACACACCCTATAGCAAAAACCTCTCTTAAATAAGATAAGATAAGATAAGATAAAAAGTTATTCAAAAAATGTGCTAGGGCTTGTTTTTATTTTTTGATAAACTATTGACTAAAATATAAATAACGCAGACAAGAGAAAACATAAACTAAGAGCCGAAAAGATGGCATCAACTTAACACTCCAGTAAAACCAGCACTTAGGTCAAGAAATAAAGAGTTGCCCTAAAGGGCCAGCCAGTGGTGCCATAGTTAAGGCGGCTGGATCTCAGGTAGCGATTGCACAGTCTATGGGGTTCAAGACCTGACCTGCCAGGAAAGAGAATTGCAGTGACCTGACCATCTCCCATGGTGAGTGTTCTCTCACTCCTCCTTTCTCTCTCTCTCTCTCTCTCTCTCACTACTGCACACGCCCTTTAGCAAATAAAAAAAATTGCCCTAGAGTACCCACCTCTCACATATTTGTCTCCTCTTCTAGCTGCTAACCTCCAAAAGTAGTATCTATTCTTTCAAGATTTTTTATTTCTTTTATGACCGAGACAGAGACGGCACACCCAACCAGGTCTGGCCTCTGTGATCCATTCCCAGCCAACCCAGGGTCATGGGCCACCTGCCCAGTGTACTGAGAGAGGTCTCTCAGAGAACCTGGCCCCTTCCCAGTGGGTCAGCCTCTCAGAGCCTCACGTTTTACTACTGCAGCACCCCCACTATCTGGTGTCCAATCAGCCACTTTTTAAAATTAGGGTTTTTATCATAGGGCACATGCACCCACTGGCGAGAAACAGAAAAAGACAGTGAGAGGAAAAGTGAGAAATCACGCCACTCCTCCTAAGAAGGATGGACATGTTGCAACCCCTTCACCTCCATTCTCCTCTTGGGACTCTTGGCAGGTTCACACATGTGCCCAGAATGCTTTTCAAGCAGCTAGGTCCGGATGCCAATTGCTGTTGGCCATGTGGGAGTTCAGCACCTTAGCCACCACGCCACCTACCTGCTGGTCCCAGTAGCCACTATTTTGATGTCTGTTACCATAGATTAGTTTGTCCTGTCTTTGTACTTTGTATAAATGGAATTAAACAGTGTGTACTATTTGGTGTCTGGCTTTTTATAACTTTTTTTTTTTTAATTTGCTATAAGGAATGTGCAGTTGCCAGAGACAGAGAGAGAGAGAAAGAGAAAGCACCCCTCCAGGTAGATGATCACACCAAAATCCCTTCTCCTCCATTCTTCTCTTGGGATTTTGGGCACCCACACACGTGTCCAGTGTGATTTTCAAGCAGCAAGGTTTGGAACTTGAACCACATGGTCCGTTATGTGGGATCTAGCTGCCTTAACCACCATGCCACCTGCCGACCCCCTCATTATTATTTATTTTTTTAATTTGATACACTCACCAGAGAGAAACACAGAGAGAGAGAGAGAGAGAAAGGGAGAAAGCAAGCCACCAGGTCCAGGACTTGAACCACAGTTGGCCATGTGGGAGTCTAGTACCCCAATTGCCATGCCACCTGCTGGCCCCCTAGGTACCTCTGATAAGTAGAATCATATTTGTCTTTTTGTGTCTAGCTTATTTCACTAAGTCTGTTTTCAAGATCCATCTTTTCTATGTTGCAGCATGTCTCAGAATTTCATAAGTTTTTAAGGCTCAATAATATTTCATTGTATGCAGATCCCATATTTATCTGTTCATCTGCTGATGGATATTTGGGTTGTTTCCACCTTTTGGCTATTGTGAATAATGCTGTTATGAACACATGTCAGTACCTGTTTAAGTTCCTGCTTTTCAATTCTTTTGTTAACTTTTTAAAAAATTATTTTATTTTGCCATAGGGCACACACACATGTGCCTGGCAGATGGTTTTTCTTTTTTTTTTTCTTTTTTTCTTTCTTTCTTTTTTTTTTTTTTTTTTTTTGCTTAAAGCATGTGTGCTCACTAGAGAGAGACAGACTATGAGAGGAAAAGTGAGAGATCACTCTCCAGGGGGATGGCCACGCCGTAATCCCTTGTCTTCCACTCTCCTCTTGGGATTTTGGGCACACACACATACAGACCCGGCATGAGTTTGAAGCCGCCAGATCCAGGACTTGAACCACGGTCAACTATGTGAGAGCCCAGTGACATAACCATTACACCATCTGCTAGTCCCAGTAGCACAGTCAACCTCAATCACCATGCCATATGCTGGCCACAGTTAAAATGAATTTTGAAGAATGAGTAGATACTTACTAAGCAAAATTCCAAATGGCAGATACAAGGACTGTCAATAAATATTTGAGGGAATTAATACATCACTGACTTGAGGGCAGCTCCATAGCCCAGTGGTTAAGGGAGGGAAGATACCACATGGCTGATGGTGGTTCGAGTTCCACCTGGCAGCTTGAAAACCATGCTGGACATCTGGATATCTGTTCCCAAACTCCTGACAGGATAGAGAAATGGAGGAGGAGGGATCACAGCATGACCATGCCCCATTGCATGTGCTTTCGCCCTCTCCCTACCCCTCTGTCTCTCTCTGGCAAGTACACACATTCTCTGACCAAAAAACAAAAATAAAAACTAAAAACACTGAATTGAACTACTAATACTTTTTATAATACCAGCCACCACATTTACTGAGAGCTTACTATCTGCCGTGTTCTGTGCTAAGCACTTCACATGCACGATCTCATGGAGCCCTAGGAAGTAGCTCCTATTGTATCTATTTTACAGGTTTGGAAATTGAGACTCAGAGAGGATAAAGGCTTTTCCAAATTATGCCGTGACTCCTATATAGCTAAAGTCATCCAGATGTGAGTGTGTGTGTAATCTTATTGTTAAGGTCAGATGGTGTCACAGTGGTAAAATGCGATGCTCTGTGAGGCTGATCTTTTTTCTTTTTAATAATTGTTTATTTTTATTTATTCATTCATTTATTTTAATTTGACCAGAGAGAGACACAGAGAGAGAAAGAGAATGTGAGAAAGTAAGCCACCAGGTCCAGGACCCGAACCGTCGTTGGCTGTGTGGGTGTGTCCAGCATCTTAACCACCACACCACCTACTGGTCCCCCGTGAGGCTGATCTTCATGGGAAGGTTCCAAGTTCACATCCAGAGATATCCCTGAGCATGCTGGGCACGTGTATGCCCATGATCTGGGACTGACTAATGCAGGGAGTATCTTGTGGCATCAAGACCCTTTTGGGGGCCCTTTGGGAACACTATCTCTTTCTCTCTTGGAACAAAATTAACAAAATAAGATCTTATTGGGGACCAGCAGGTGGCATGGTGGTTAAGGTGCTGGACCCTCCCACATGGCTGACCATGGTTCAAGTCCCGGACCTGGTGGCTTGCTTTTTCACTTTCTCTCTCTCTCTCTCGCTCTCTCTCTCAGTCTCTCTCTGGTCAAATGAAAAAGTAAATGAATAGGGAACCAGCAGTTAGCGTAATGGCTATGTCGCTGGACTCCCATGTAGTTGACCACAGTTCGCGTCCCAGACCCGGTGGCTTAAAAACTCACGCCGGGCGCGTGTGTGTGTGCCCAAGATCCCGAGAGGAGAATGGAGGAGAAGGGATTGTGGCATGACCATCCCTCCTGGGGGGTGATTTCTCGCTTTCTGTCTCTATGTCTCTCTCTGTCTGTCTG